TGGAGAACAGTAAGTTTCTGTTGAACACAGAACTATACACACAAGGACAGACAAACAGTGCTGACTACATGACTCCCTCATGTTTTACCAGGACCAGTGGAGAAAAGTAAGTTTCTGTTGAACACAGAACTATACACACAAGGACAGACAAACAGTGCTGACTACATGACTCCCTCCTGTTTTGTACCAGGACCAGTGGAGAAAAGTAAGTTTCTGTTGAACACAGAACTATACACACAAGGACAGACAAACAGTGCTGACTACATGACTCCCTCCTGTTTTACCAGGACCAACGGCGAAGGTTAAGATTCCTCTCCACTATATTGTAAAAGTTTAGGGTGGATTATTTGTATGACTGTATTGTAAAACGTTAGGATGGATTATTTGTGTGACTGTATTGTAAAACTTTAGGATTATTTGTGTGACTGTATTGTAAAACTTTAGGGTGGATTATTTGTGTGACTGTATTGTAAAATGTTAGGATGGATTATTTGTGTGACTGTATTGTAAAACTTTAGAGGGGATTATTTGTGCGAGTGTATTTTAAAACTTTAGGGTGGATTATTTGTGTGACTGTATTGTAAAACTTTAGGGTGGATTATTTGTGTGACTGTATTTTAAAACTTTAGGGTGGATTATGTGTGTGGCTGTATTGTAAAACCTTGGGGTGGATTATTTGTGTGACTGTATTGTAAAACTTTAGGGTGGATTATTTTTGTGACTGTATTTTAAAACTTTAGGGTGGATTATTTGCGTGACTGTATTGTAAAACGTTAGGATGGATTATTTGTGTGACTGTATTGTAAAACCTTAGAGTGGATTATTTTTGTGGCTGTATTGTAAAACTTTAGGGTGAATTATTTGTGTGACTGTATTGTAAAACCTTAGGGTGGATTATTTGTGTGGCTGTATTGTAAAACTTTAGGGTGGATTATTTTTGTGGCTGTATTGTAAAACTTTGGGGTGGATTATATTTGTGGCTGTATTGTAAAACTTTGGGGTGGATTATTTGTGTGGCTGTATTGTAAAACTTTAGGGTGGATTATTTTTGTGGCTGTATTGTAAAACTTTAGGGTGGATTATTTGTGTGGCTGTATTGTAAAACTTTGGGGTGGATTATTTGTGTGACTGTATTTTAAAACTTTAGGATGGATTATTTATGTGACTGTATTTTAAAACTTTAGGGTGAATTATTTGTGTGACTGTATTGTAAAACGTTAGGATGGATTATTTGTGTGAATGTATTGTAAAACGTTAGGGTGGAGTATTTGTGTGACTGTATTGTAAAACTTTAGGGTGGATTATTTGTGTGACTGTATTTTAAAACTTTAGGGTGTATTATTTGTGTGACTGAACTATTTTAACTAAGTAAGAACATTTAGGTTAAGCACAGTATTACAAGTTATAAAACAACAGTGTAGAAAAGTGTGTGTTAAAGTTTTAATAAGTTTCACACAAGATAAGCCCTCTCGTTTTTCGGTTTCGTGCCAACTGACAGTAAATTTCTCGAGAATCAATTTAAAGCCCTCGCCCAGATTTTCTTCAAAATCAATTTTGCGTTTAAATGGTTAAATCAAATTGCATTTCAATAAATCATCTACACGTATAAAACGATTTTATATCCCCAAACATTTCGAAAAACAAATTCCTCTTGTTCAATCGATTTTGTGGTGCCAGCCAGTGCTTCAAGATTCTTTTCTTACCGTTACAAGTGGCCCGCCCACACGCAACAGCTTCGAACATAGGCTAAAAACATATTCCTGTTCTATTGTACTTCAACTGATGGTGATACAAGCAAATCATTATGTTGTGTGGAAAAGTCCAATTCTTTTTCTTAGTGGCTACCATGATCACGTGATTCACTTAGTGCTTCTCTATAGGACTACTTTTTCTAGTGGCTACCATGATCACGTGATCCACACTGCACTTATCTATAGGGCTACTTTTTTTAGTGACTACCATGATCACGTGATTCATACTGTGCTTGTCTATAGGACTACTTTTTGTAGTGGCTACCATGATCACGTGATTCATACTGTGCTTGTCTATAGGACTACTTTTTGTAGTGGCTACCATGATCACGTGATTCACACTGTGCTTGTCTATAGGACTTTTTGTAGTGGCTACCATGATCACGTGATCCACACTGCGCTTATCTATAGGGCTACTTTTTGTAGTGGCTACCATGATCACGTGATCCACACTGCGCTTGTCTATAGGGCTACTTTTTGTAGTGGCTACCATGATCACGTGATCCACACTGTGCTTGTCTATAGGGACTACTTTTTGTAGTGGCTACCATGATCACGTGATCCACACTGTGCTTGTCTATAGGACTATTTTTTGTAGTGGCTACCATGATCACGTAATTCACACCGTGCTTTTCTATAGGACTACTTTTTGTAGTGGCTACCATGATCACGTGATCCACACTGTGCTTGTTTGTTGAGCTTTTTCGTAGTGTCAACATAAGAATAGACAGATAATTTTCTATTTTACACTGAGAATAGATAGACAGTTTTAAATTTTACATTAATAATAGACAAATGGTTTACATTTTACACAAAAAGTAAATAGTTAGTTTTAAGTTTTACATTGAGAAAAATAGGTGGTCAGAACATATACATACAAGATGACCATGTACCTACATTGTGTGTGAAGGGTTCTCTATGGGTATTAAAATGTGCCCACCTTTGCCAACCTCTTTGTTGGATACACCGAAAATCTTGTATTTAATCAATACAATGGATCAGTACCCATGATGTGTCGTCGCTACATTGACGACACACTTTTCTACACTTTGTTTCCTCTTTACACCCTTCTTTAGAATTTAATTGGGAAATATCCGATACAACACTCCCCTTTCTCGACATTAACATATACATACAAGATGACCATCTGACCACTAGTACATATTACAAAGAAACACAAAACATTGTTATTAATGTTTGATCTGTACTAGGTATGTTATTCTAACATTGTTATTCACGTTTGATCTGTACTAGGTATGTTATTCTAACATTGTTATTCACGTTTGATCTGTACTAGGTTTGCCATTTTAACCAACGCACAATTCTCTAATATTTTATTGGCAATTTATATTGCCGATAAGTCTAGGCTGCCTGAAGCATATTTACTTTATTTTAAACTCTGTTTAAAAACTTGTTTAGTTAAAAAGCTATTCCTAATTAGTTTCGAAAATTTTATGGTAAGAACATTAAATGATGTTCTTGAAATATGTCGTCTTAGTGATGCACAAACTGTACCGAAAACAATCAAACCAAACAAACAGTTTGTCCCTATCAAGAATAGTGTCGACGCTTTTTGCAAAATGGAAGATATCGAACGTTTTTTCGCGGACTAAGACTGAAAACCAGTTTTTTCCAAAATCTCTGAAACACATTCTTCTAAAATTAACTCTCTCTGTGACCTCTTCTCATGGACGCCACCTTCCGGGGAGTTTATAGCACTTGATTAATTCATTCGTAAGTGTAGGAATGAAATCAATAAGTTGAATTTAAACCTGAAGACTAAATCTAAAAACATCTTTCACGACGAACAATTAGCTTTAAATTGTTTGCAACAAAGAGACGACATTGTTATAAATCCAGCAAACAAAAGCTGGAACATAGTAGTTTGGCGCAAGGATTTATATATAACTGAAGAGTTGAGACAACAACAGTACTTTCTACACCCGTCTTCAAGACAACCCAATTTGTGATTTCAATAACCAGATAACATCTACAGTTGACGGTTTAATCGATACTCACGAATTACCCACCACAGCCAAGAATCTCACTGTAAAGGATCCTAGAACTCCCATTTTCTGTCATCTTCCTAAAATCCACAAAGATGGACATCCGGGTCGACCCATTGTATCTGTATGAAGTTGTCCTACAGAGAAAATTTATAGTTACCTTGACGAAGTTTTATCACCATTTGTCATGGATTCACAGACACACATACAGGACACCACTCATACCATTAGTTGGATCAAGAACAAACATTTAACTGGTAATGAACATTACATCTTCACCATGGATATAAAATCATTGTTCACATCTATCCCACACAATGAGGGTTTAATTGCACGAAAACATTTCTTGGACCAAAGAACCATACTGGAACCTCTAACACACCCACACTTCTACGTTTAGCCGAACTTAAGTTCACACTTAGTGCCTTTACTAGTAATGGTAACTATCACAAACAGATCTGCTTAACGTTTGATCTGTACTGGGTATGTTATTCTAACATTGTTATTCACGTTTGATCTGTACTGGGTATGTTATTCAAACATTGTTATTAACGTTTGATCTGTACTGGGTATGTTATTCTAACATTGTTATTCACGTTTGATCTGTACTGGGTACATTATTCAAACATTGTTATTAACGTTTGATCTGTACTAGGTACATTATTCTTATTCAAACATTGTTAAGTACCTAGTACAGATCAAACTTACACAGTTCTATCTTTAATAACACACCAACTTTCACAGTTCTATAGCAGTTAATAACACACCAACTTTCACAGTTCTATAGCAGTTAATAACACACCAACTTACACAGTTCTATCTTTCAGTTCTTATAATTTTACTTACTAATACATTAATAGTTCCATAACAAATGTATTACTCGAACTTTGAACAAAAGTGATTTAAATCTGGAACAGATAAAGAAGTAGCTAGCTAGATAAGAAAGGCTTGTTGTGCAAGTACTTTATGGAACTGATTACTTTAGTGAAAGTACGAATCTAACCACGGGTAATAGATGCATAGTTAATACGAACCAATTGTGGAGAAGTTTGTGTAAGAAAATTCTTTACCTCAGTGTGGGCGCAAGTTCTGGAAAAAAAGTAACTTTCGTTGCTAGATGTATAGTAAATACGAACCAATTGTGGAGAAGCTTGTGTAAGAAAATTCTTTACCTCAGTGTGGACGCAAGTTCTGGAAAAACAGTAACTTTCGTTGCTGCACTGTTGACTAACCATCGATAGTATATAGAAATAAATAAACGTAAGTTGTATATATTATTGTTCTTTTTCGTCCACCACACGTCCTCTATTTGTCTATTTTAGTGCGGACTTACAACGCTTGAAACCGGGTTTCGATATCCGTGGTGGGCAGAGCACAGATAGCCCTTTTTGTAGCTTTGTACTTAACTACAAACGAACTGTTTTAGCGCATAGCTATACATTGGGCTCTCTGCTGTGTTTACCGTGGAGATTCGAGCCCCTTATTTTATTGTTGTAAGTCAGTAAGCTTATCGCTATCCCACCAAGGAGACCTGCTGTTCGAACGAATGATGTAAATAGAATATCACGGGTAATACTTGTATACTTTTAATGTAATTAATTTATTAATACACATAATATTTACAAACAAATGTAACATTTTTTTAATTATCATGCAACTTAATCTGACTGTTAAGAAAAATAAACGTGTAATGTTTATAACATTTATCCAGCCTTTAGAAAATTTTGTTTTAAATGAATAATGCTTCGATTGGTAATTGAGTAAGTATATTCATATGCATATTGTATTATAATTGCCGAAACTTTTATATTTTAAGGTTTTTAGATTAAATGGCGTCCCTAATTTTCACAATAACTGAAGAACAGGATAGAGAAAAAGATGTAGGAATGCAGCCCGCAACTGATTTTGTTAATAAAGCTTATGAAAACGATTTAGACGTAAGTTTTTGTCTATTTATTTTTTGGAAAACAGAAGGTAAGTTTTAGATTGAACTTTCAATATATTTTTTGCGTATTTATAATAAATGAAATTTAAACCTCTAAACATTAGAAAATATGATGAGCATTTAAGTTAAAAATGAAACAGTAAAACTTCAATACTGATGAAACTAATTTAATATTTTCGTTTTTTGTTTACTTATTGATTAAATGTTATATTATTACAAGTTACAGCGTTTACAGTAAGGAAGGTTATTTTTTAGAACAGGTACAACGTTTCGATCACTGGTGCGATCATTCTAAGTAATCTAATATAGGTGGATTCTTTCGGTGAGGGTTATGTTGTTTGATTGTAACATTAGGCTTAGCTGGCTTTTGTAGAATTCGTGAAACGGAAATTAAACTATGTAACTTGTAATAAAATAATATTTAATCAGTAAATATACTAAAACGATTATGTGCGATTAAAAGAGATTAAAGATATATATAACTTATCTGTTCCTTAAGGATTTTATATGGCTTTTTGTAGTTTTAGTTATTTGTCTGAGGTGCTACTTCGAGGATTCAGGTTAGGCCTATAAACGTAATGACGTAAGAATAAGATGATAGAAAAGTTGGACGTTAAGCACACAGAACACAAAATTATACGAAAAAAAACCTCAATTGATGCTGTAGTTTTAATTAATGATTTTGGTTTTAGTATATTTACTGATTAAATATTATTTTATTACAAGTTACAGCTTTTGCAGTGAGGAAGATTATGTTTTAGAACAGGTACGACGTTTCGGTCACTGGTACGATCATTCTCAAGTGCTCTTAAGTCTAACATAGGAATGTTTTAAATAATAATTTAGATCAGTATTGGCTTTGTTGTCCTAATATTGTTATTAACGTTTGAGCTGTACTGGGTATGTTATTCTAACATTGTTATTAACGTTTGATCTGTACTGGGTATGTTATTCTAACATTGTTATTCACGTTTGATCTGTACTGGGTATGTTATTCTAACATTGTTATTAACGTTTGATCTGTACTGGGTATGTTATTCTAACGTTGTTATTAACGTTTGATCTGTACTGGGTACATTATTCTAACATTGTTATTAACGTTTGATCTGTACTAGGTACATTATTCTAACATTGTTATTAACGTTTGATCTGTACTGGGTATGTTATTCTAATATTGTTATTCACGTTTGATCTGTACTGGGTATGTTATTCTAACATTGTTATTAACGTTTGATCTGTACTGGGTATGCTATTCTAACATTGTTATTAACGTTTGATCTGTACTGGGTACATTATTCTAACATTGTTATTAACGTTTGATCTGTACTGGGTATGTTATTCTAATATTGTTATTAACGTTTGATCTGTACTGGGTATGTTATTCTAACATTGTTATTAACGTTTGATCTGTACTGGGTATGTTATTCTAACATTGTTATTAACGTTTGATCTGTACTAGGTACATTATTCAAACGTTGTTATTCACTTGGTGTGTTATTAACTGCTATAGAACTGTGTAAGTTGGTGTGTTATTAAAGATAGAACTGTGTAAGTTGGTGTGTTATTAACTGCTATAGAACTGTGTAAGTTGGTGTGTTATTAACTGCTATAGAACTGTGGAAGTTGGTGTGTTATTAACTGCTATAGAACTGTGGAAGTTGGTGTGTTATTAAAGATAGAACTGTGGAAGTTGGTGTGTTATTAACTGCTATATGATATGCGTGTAGAATAATGTTTCGATGTTCCAATTAGAATTATTGATAATTTAAATATAAAAATTGATAATAATTACTATATTTTTACGAGTTAATTGACTCAAGTACTGTGATAAGACAGTGATTTTCTACCATCATAAAAGTCTATAGGTTTCTAGTTTGTTTTTTTTACTTTCATTTAATTGAAATATTAAAATCGAATAACTATGTAGATTTTGTATTGTCATACTGAATTTTTACCAGGAGTGTTCAGAGTATTTTCTTATAACATATTTATTTGTAAGAACCTGGCTTTCTTTTTTTAAACCGAACTTACATCAGGTTTTATTGTACAACGTTTTAAGTTGAATTTTTTTTCGGAAGGGAGGGGGGGAGAAGAGTAGTAGAGCTTTCGATTTCAGAGTTGGCGAATCGGGTTCGAATCAGTAGTTTAAAATTAGACACGGTAGCTTTACCTTAAATACAAATTGGAAAACAATGAATAAATTTGTATCAAGTTTCCTAAGAAGTTCGTTCAACCTCAACCAGAGTATCCAGTTTTCAACGTTAGACAATCAACCTGTGCTTATAATAATTATAGCTTTCTGTTACCGGATTGAAGTTACCTCTTCTACATCGCAAACAAAACCTCTGTCATTATTATTAAATCATTCTACAATGCGTGCACATTTTTTGAAATAACACAGAATTGTATGTGTAATTGCTTATACCTTACACTCATGGGCAGATAACAATAATTTTTTTTTTCCATTTTAGTTATCATAAGTGAGAGTGCTGGTCGTGAGTTGGCATTGACAGGAAACATGGTTTCAACAACTAAATCTGCGGGATGAACGATTAATTCTCATTTCGCTATTACTCTTCGTTTGCATTTTTTTTTTATTTATTCAGCAGCAACGGAATTTTCTATTTTATTTGATTAAAGTAATTTCATCATAACTACTGTTGTTGCAGTTAAGTGAATAAACTGGCAATTATTAATTGCTTTACTTCGGGTGTGCTTGGTGATTGAGACGTTCCGAACAGTTTTATCAACATTACAGTGACAGAAAGAATGCCTGTTAACAAACAAGGCTACTTGTTCGTTTTGGATTATTTTTATCGACCAAACTTTCCAGGTGTAGTCAGCTAGCTTCTGTCTTTATCAGACAAAATAGAAACGTTTAATCTCAAACACAGACGTTTTGATTCACCCTTGTCTTTTTCTTTTTGCGCATGTGTGAAAAACAGATAAGGTTCATAAGAGTTCAACCATAGCGAAATATTTGTATAACTTAATATTAGGTCGTCAAGAAATTAATGTCGTATTTTAGATGAAAAAACCCGAACAACTTGTATATCAAACAAAACATTTATTAAATGAAATAGTCTCCATTCTTATCGATGATGCTTTTCCATCTGACAATCAGGTTGTTAATGCCCTAATTAAAAAAATCACTTGGCTTTGAAGCAAAAAAACATGTCGATGTCCTCCTTAACACCTTCC